ATTGGCATGATGTGGTAATCTTCTATGCTTGAATTTTTTTTTTTTAAAATAAATTCTCAACTTGAATTTTTTCTTTAGCCCCTATTTTCAAATCTTGGCTCTGGCCGTGTTGGCGAGGGTATAACAGTAATTACAGCTAAGGTGATGAGCCTACTTAAACTTGAACCATTCCTTTGCATTGCTAGAATTTCAAGTCTGTAAAGCTTTCTAACGATAATGGAAAAGCTGTGTTCATTCTCTCTCCTACGTTTTCTCTCTCTAGCCATACTCCTCCATGTCCAACCAATCTCAACCGTTGAATCTCCCAATTCTGAACCCAACAAAGCCACAGATTTCATCCGTACGAAGTGCAACGCAACTTCATACCCTGAGCTCTGCTACACCTCGCTCTCCGGCTTCGCCAACGCCATCCAGGAGGACCCGGCTCGGCTGGCTAAAGTCGCCATAGCCGTCAGCCTCTCGAAAGTCAAGCACATGGCCAACTACGTCGCCAACATCTCCCGCCAAGCCGACAAGGGCGGCAACCCGCGACTCGCCTCCGCCCTCGACGTCTGCTTCGAGGAGTTCGGCGGTGCCGTCGACGGGATTCGCGAATCGCTCAGGCAGATGAAGCGCCTCGGCCGTCCCGGCCAGTCGCAGTCGCTGGGGTTCCTGATTAGCAACGTGCAGACGTGGATGAGCGGGGCGCTCACGTGCCAGGACACGTGTACGGACGCATTAGGGGAAATCGACTATGATGGGCCGGTGAAGTCGGACATCTGTGATCGGGTTGTGAAGGTTTATGACGTCACCAGTAATGCGCTGGCGTTGGTGAATTCTTTCGCTGACACTGTTGCGGCTCCGTGATGGAGCTTTGTTGATCGTTCGATCTTAACTCGTAAATGAGATTTCTTAGTAGAAGTATGGTAGACTCTTTAATATATTATGGAAGACCAAAAAAAGATTTAGTTGATGAGTGGACTGTAGTAGACTCTTTAATATATTAGTTGATGAGTGGACTGTAAATGCTATTTTTCTTAAGTTGGTGAATCAATTTTTTCATGGTTTCTAATAATAGCAGGTTTAACAATCTCAAGTTTAGTATGTGTATAACACTTAAATAAATTACTCCATAATATCTAATTTTTATTTATTTATTATTCTATAAAAAGCCCAAGATATATTTATTTGGGTTGAGTTGGTTAAGCCCGTGTAACTTATTTATACATGTTTAACTATTATACATGTCATAAATAAATTTATGTTTAGGTTCCAAAATAATTATCTAAACTCATGTCTTATAATTTAATCTTTTGTAGACCGGAGAGTATTTACTAATTTAAGTGGATTGAAACTTATATTTTTCTAGTATTTATTATTTGATTCAGTATTATTAATAATTTAAATGATATAATTTTTTGTTTTATTAAATTGGTCTTTAAACGGATTGTACGTGTAACCCATTAAATAAATTGGTCAATATTGTGAGTTTTTTATACGAATATTAAACGAATCGTGCGACATCATAAAGACAAATTCTCAACTCTTAAAAAAAAAAACTACTTCAATTAAACAAATAATTTAGGTTGAGGTGGTTCAGCCCGTGTAACCTATTTATACCGGTTTAACTATTATACATGTCATAAATAAATTTATATTTAGGTTCTAAAATAATTATCTAAACTCATGTTTTATAATTTAATCTTTTGTAGACGGGAGAGTATTTAGTAATTTAAGTGGATTGAAGCTTATATTTTTCTAGTATTTATTATTTGATTCAGTATTATTAATAATTTAAATGGTATAATTTTTTATTTTATTAAATTGGTCTTTAAACGAATTGTAAGTATAACTCGTTTAATAAATATATTAATATTGTAAATTTTTTATACGAATATTAAACTAATCGTGCCACATCATAAAGACAAATTATCAGCTCTAAAAACAAAAAAAAAACCTACTTTAATTAAACAAATAATTTACAACAGTCCATCTAAATATTATTACTCTTTAATAAATAAGGGCTTAAAATGATTCTAAACAAGTCCTTGTCTAAACTTTAAACGTACAAGTGAAGCAACGGACGGGTGGAGGAATGTACAACACCACCATTCGCACCACGGCCGCAAATTGAGAAAGCAAGAAACCCGAAATGGGCGGCTTGGTGGTACATTTTACTTTTATTATAAGTTCCCACTGCAAAGGCGTTGCCGACCAAATCTACCCCACTCACCACATTGATTATTGGAGTTTTTCTACTACCGAAAATGCCCTCGCGATTGTTGAGAGTTTTTACAAGAAAGAGTCCAGTGCATCAAATGCCAAACTTGTACCTTATGTTTCTAGCTATATTGTTTGGATTTTGAGACAATTGACAAGTGTCTTGTTGCATTTGTTTGAATGGTTGGGTTAATTCTTGTATATGCAAATTCGTGCTATTTTTTTTTTTACTTTAACAAATAATTAACAACTTCTAACATTAGTTTTTAAAAAAATAAAATTAATTACTATGAGATCAGTAATAAAAATCGACCAAACCATGAAGATTTTCAAATGCTTTCAAAGCATTAATTAGTTTCCATGACTTTGAATTGTCGAACTCTTTATTTAAGTTAAATTGTTCTGTGAGCGTATCATTACTCTACAAATGATATTTACTTTCTAATATATATTTTTTTAATTTAAAATTAAAACAAATACACATGCTCGCTATATTTATATTCTCTTAAATATGTCATGCACAAAAGTTATTAGTCACTTACAAAGTTTCATGGGTATGTCATGCTTGAAAAAACTTTGATGGCTATTGAAATTAGAAAAAAAAATAAGTAAATGAAAAACCAAAAAGAGATAATTATAATTTTATGAAAAATAAATAAACCTCTTCTTAATTTTGTTTAACGAGTACGTAAGAATAAAAAGAGAGAAGAAATATCAATAGACAAGTGGCTTAGCGATACCAAATTCTTATTTTTCAAAAAAACGTTAGGAGTCAGTACCCAATTAAAAAATAAAAAAGGAAGAGAAGAAATAATATTGCCTTTGGCTTGTGATTTGCTTAATCAAGAAAAAAAAAAAATATAGATCTTTTATTTTTTTTTTCTTTCTTCTAGATTTTGATTTTTTACCTTTAAAATGAATAACGCGGTCTTTAAAGTCGTGAAGAGAAGTGTCCAAATCAAAGAAGTGACACCATATGTTCCCTTTATTGGGTTCCTAAGACAAAATCAAATACTTGCTTTTTGGTTATACAGTTAATGAATGTTATGTAAAAAAGTGTAATTTTATTTTTTATTTTTTATTTTATTTTTTACCTGGCAATGGTTAACATGGTTAAGAAAAAGAGGATTCAAATTTAGGGCTCGGAGCATTGAGTAGGCTACTGAAGATCAGACCTTCATCACTGAGGCACGACCCATACACTCATAAAAATATAATATGAAATAATATATTTAAATTTAATTGATGATAATTCATTTTGGTCAAAAGAGGGTTGGTAATAAATTGTAAAAAATAAATGAAGACGAAACTAAAAAGTCAAAAGAGGAAAAAGATAATTCTCAAATCTACTCCTCCCTTTCCATTTTTATTAAGGACTCATTTGTTAAGCAGAATTTATGTGATATGAAAAGACAAATAATTTTTAGCAGTGGCTTATATTGACTAATTACAAAGTATTCAACTTTTAATTTGAAAGAAAAAAAAAATTAGAATTTAATTGAAGAAGAAAATTTTGATTTATTCTTTTAAACAAATTAAAGGATTTTGAAGAATAAAAGATAAATTAAAGGAAAAGTTAACAGATAATTTTACAAACTAAAAAATTTAGGGATCGGCCCAAATGAGTGAATGAATTTTTTATGAATGATTTTTTTTCTTCTTCTAAATATATCTTTATTTTAAAGGAAATTGATATTAGGATTCCAAAAAAAATCCTACAATTGATTTCACGGAGTATTTTTTTATTTTTAACCCCAAAATCACATTCTATTTTTTTATTTTTAACCCCAAAATCACATTCTATTTGAAATTCGTAATATAGAAGTACTACGTATATAATTAGTTGATATCCTTTTAGAACTATCTATAAGTTTGGAATTATGAGTATTTAAATGGAAAGAATTTAAATAAGGGTTAAGTGCAAAAAACCTCATTTACTATTGATATAATACATATCAGTCACTGTGTGGTAAAAAACCTCTCTATACTATCAATTTGGTGTGATTGGGTCCCTAGTGGTGTAAAATGACGATAATACCCTCACTTCAGTTGAATAAATTAATGATTATAAATAAAAGGCCATGTAAAATGACCCTTTTGTCTAAATTTGTATAAAATATTGTTTCTTTGGCAGAAGGATAATATAAACCTCAAATTGTATAAAATAGGGATAACCTAAATCTGAATATAATTAAATCTAAAACCAAACATGCTCTTTCATATTTTAAAATATAAATAAATTTATCATATATATATATATATATATATATATGCACACCATATATCTTTAGGGCAAATATGTTTTAGGGCAAATTATTTCAGCCTTCGCCTCCATCGTTATTCTCGTTCTCAACTCTGAAATCCCCCCCCCCCCTGTGCAACTGCAAACTACAAGAATCAGAAGTTCAAAACCCGTTCAAAACCCATATCGGCATATCATTTCATATTGTTCAAAAAATCAAAACCCATATCTTTCTGTTTCCATCGCCAGCTGTTCCAGTTTGGGTTCACCGTTCACAAGCTTCAGCCGCTGTTCCAGTTTGGGTTCAACAAGTGACCATTGATTCCGGCGAAAGCCAAGTTGCATTCTGAGCTCCTGCGAACTGATCGACAGCAAGCTTCACAGCTTGCTTGCCTTCTTCGGTGACAAATCAGTGAACTTATCAACTTGCATTCGACTACGATGAACAAAAACGGCGAGCTCTATTTCAGTTTTATGAGCTCACTGTTGTGTTTTTGCAACGGTGGGCCTAGGTAGCCTGGACACGTTGCCGAACTGAGGTGGGTTTCGCCGAAGAGGAATGCACCAAACTGACTTGGGTTTTGCAGAAGCTTGGAGCTCACCGGAACTGGCCGGAGTGAACTTCACCGGAACTGGGTATAGTCTTGGTAAGAAATACAGATAAACATTACCTTGTTTATTTGTCCGTCATTAACCAAGTTACTACTAATACTCTTTAATAGTTCAAATAGTGCTTCAACTTCACTAACACTGACTGAGGAATAAATCACATATAAGTTTTCTCTAGAAATCAAAATGAAACTAAATAAATACAGAAAAAAATTGCTTTGGTTTTCACTATTTAGCTTATATAACAGATTAATCTCAGAAGCTTTAGCCAAAACAATAATCAATCCTCAGATGATACTTAACTCAATAAATTCCAAAAGCCATCAAATTAAACAAGAATAATAAAATTTCACCACACTGACATATTAATTTTTATATTAAAAAAAAAAGAACTTACAAGTTGTCTGTGAAGCAAGAACTACTGGGTCCTCGAGTCCAGGAAATTGCTTTTTTGCTATGGAATGAAAGTAGCCCATTTACTGAAGAATAACAACTTCTTCAGTGGACTACGAAACTAGCGCCTGATGTTGGGACTTCAACTTCACTACAATATATCATCAAAACCATCTTACTGTTGGGTCTTCGATGAAATTTTTTGCTTTGACCTCACTGTTGGGTCGAAGCAAAGCCATCTAAATTCAGACACCATCATACAAAATACACAATTGGTGAGTTTTTAAATTTTCCCCCATAAAATTGAAGTAGACATGGAGAGAGAGAGAGAGAGAGAGAGAGAGAGAGAGAGAGAGAGAGAGAGAGAGAGAGGAATTGGGTTTAGGGGTGGGGGTCCTTAACTGCACAATTGGCGAGGGCCTTTGATATACAAATGGTGAGGGGCAAAATGGAAAATAAAAAGGTAAAATGGGATTTTCGGTTTTACTTTTTGTAAAAAGTGGTCAGAGGGACCAGTTATGCACCTTTTTTGAATTTTGTAGACTTACATGCACATTTTCAAAAAATAAGGCCTCTTTTTTTGCACTTAACCCCTTAAATAAAGGTGAAATAATTGATATTCTATTTCTATATTTGCTTAATTCCGTATTGGACTCAAATCAAATATTTAATTACAGTTCAAGTCAGGAGACTACTTAACCTCTACTGAACTCATTCCTTTGGATTGATCTGAATCTAAATTTTAAGTGTCGGAAAGCTTTCTAACAACAATGGAAAAGCTAAGTTGATTCTCTCTCCTCTGTTTTCTCTCTCTAGCCATACTCCAAGTCCAACCAATCTCAGCCGTTGAATCTCCCAACCCTGAACCCACCAAAGCCACAGATTTCATCCGTATCAAGTGCAACGCAACTTTACACCCTGAGCTCTGCTACACCTCGCTCTCCGGCTTCGCCAACGCCATCCAGGAGGACCCGGCTCGGCTGGCTAATGTCGCCATAGTCGTCAGCCTCTCGAAAACCAAGCACATGGCCAAGTACGTCGCCAACATCTCTCTCCATTTCGACACGGGCGGCAACAAGGGACTCGCCTCCGCCCTCCACGTCTGCTCCAAGGTGTTCAGCAGCGCCGTCGACGAGATTCGCTACTCGCTCAGCGAGATGAAGCGTCTCCGCCGTCCCGGCCAGTCGCAGTCGGTCGGGTCCCAGATTGGCGACGTGCAGACGTCGATGACCGCGGCGATCGCGTACGAGGACACGTGTACGGAATCATTAGAGGAAATCGAGTATGAAGGGCCGTTGAAGACGGACATCTGTGATCGGGCTGAGAAGGTTTTTCACTTCATGGGTAATGCGCTTAATTTGGTGATGAATGCTTTTGCTGATACTGTTGCGGCTCCGGCTCCGTGATGGAGCTATGTTGACCGTTGGATCATGACTCGTAAATGAGATTTCTTATTAGTAGTATGGTAAACTCTTTAATATATTATGGAAGAGACTAGGTCACATTAATATTTAGTTGATTATTTACCCCCAAAAAGAAAAAACGTATTTAGTTGATATGTGGACTGTAAATGTTATTTTTCTCAAGTTGGTGAGTTATTATACAATTTGTGTGGGCTTTAACCCTTATTTCATTTGCTTAGTTACAATAAATTTTTACATGGTTTATGACTTTATGCTAATCTCAAGCTGGTTGGTTTGTTTTTGCAACATTACTAGTTTTGATTTTTCTTCCTGCAGCCTCATGTGATTAACCGAGATTACGGGAAACTACTAGTTTTTGTTTTTTTGTTTTGCTTCCCCTCTTCCTTTATTTACCCCCCCCCCCCAAAAAAAAAAAAAAAAAATTGGAGATTGTGATTTGTTTGAGTTTGAAATTTTCAAAGTAGGTATATAATTGGTTAGGTTGGTAATTAATTTGTTGATTGATAAGTTATTTATATATATATATATATTCAATCTAATTTTTTTTTTTTAATCTTTTTATTTTTTATTTTTATCCTGGTAAGAACAACACCAAGGCCATAGTTAAAACAAAAGCTAGCAAAACCACAACAAACATGGTTAAAAGGTTATTAGAATACGGAAATTTAAATTATTTTCTCACACTATTAAAAAAAATTGTAGGGGTCTTGCACTAAGGAAATAGCTAAAATTAGTTGGAAGTAATAATATAAAGAAATAAAGATATTAGGAATATTTTAGAAAATTATAAAATAATAATTTTAGGCCGGCTTACTAGAATACGGAAATTTAATATGAGTTTGTTATGCAACTTGAAATATGGATTCCAAAAAATATAGGAGTATATAATTAGTTGATGTTAGAACTATTTATAAGTTTCGAATTTAAAAGGAATATGCGTATTTAAATTCTAATAAAGGTGATATAATTGATTCTATATTGATTAATTCCGTATTGGACTCAAACCAAATATTTCTATACCAATAAAATAAGGGATAGGGATTCAAAAAATTCGGTGAATCGAAAATAGTTTGGGCTAGTGTGTTTTTTTTTTTTATGAAGATAAAGGTAAATTTTTATTGAATAAAATAAGGGGTTACAAAGGCTACAATAAAACAAGCCCCGCCCGTAGGCGGCCCAACACTAGAATAACTAACAACAAACAAAGAACAAAGAAAAGCAAAGTTATCAAATCGTAATTTTTCAGTTTGGTCCTGATTTGGGTACGTCCTGACCTTATTAGGACAGAATTGTTATATAACTTTTATATATATATATATTTCAACTTTATAGTAATTAGTGAACTAAGTCTATATATATTTTTCCTTTCCTTGTGTCTTCCACAACTGCTTGATATTATTGACAATTCATACATGGTTTTTCACGGTTTGGTTTTGTTCCATTGGTGTTATGATTGGGTCTAATTTCAAAAAGAGTGAAACCGCCATAAATGGTTTAGTTCAAAAAAAAAAACTCTCGGATCCAAATAGCGTGCACCCCTAAATAAAATATATTGGTGAGGGTATAACAGTAATTACAGCTAAGGTCATGTGCCTACTTAAACTTGAACCAGTCCTTTGCATTGCTGGAATTTCAAGTCTGTAAAGCTTTGTAACGATAATGGAAAAGCTATGTTCATTCTCTCTCCTATGTTTTCTCTCTCTAACCATACTCCTCCATGTCCAACCAATCTCAGCCGTTGAATCTCCCAATTCTGAACCCAACAAAGCCACAGATTTCATCCGTACGAAGTGCAACGCAACTTCATACCCTGAGCTCTGCTACACCTCGCTCTCCGGCTACGCCAACGCCATCCAGGAGGACCCGGCTCGGCTGGCTAAAGTCGCCATAGCCGTCAGCCTCTCGAAAGTCAAGCACATGGCCAACTACGTCGCCAACATCTCCCGCCAAGCCGACAAGGGCGGCAACCGGCGACTCGCCTCCGCCCTCGACGTCTGCTTCGAGGAGTTCGGCGGTGCCGTCGACGGGATTCGCGACTCGCTCAGGCAGATGAAGCGCCTCGGCCGTCCCGGCCAGTCGCAGTCGCTGGGGTTCCTGATTAGCAACGTGCAGACGTGGATGAGCGGGGCGCTCACGTGCCAGGACACGTGTACTGACGCATTAGGGGAAATCGACTATGATGGGCCGGTGAAGACGGACATCTGTGATCGGGTTGTTAAGGTTTATGACGTCACCAGTAATGCGCTTGCGTTGGTGAATTCTTTCGCTGACACTGTTGCGGCTCCGTAATGGAGCTTTGTCGACCGTTCTATCTTAACTCGTAAATGAGATTTCTTATTAGTAGATTCTTTAATATATTATGGAAGAGAGTGACATTAATATTTAGTTGAATATTTACCCAAAAAAATATATATATTTAGTTGATGAGTGGACTTTAAGTTGGTGAGTTATTTGTGTGCGCTTTAGCCCTTATTTCAGTTACAATAAATTTTTACATGGTTTCTATTAATCTCAAGTTCAGTAGGTTTGTTTTTGCAATTTTTTCTTTCTATTTTTGTTTTTGTTGTTTATGCGGCCTTAGTGATTAACCCAAATCATGTAATAATTTTTTGAAAAATTAGTTTTGGTTTTTGTTTTTTTGTTTTGCTTCCCCTTTCCCCTTTTTACCCAAAAAAAAGATATAGCTAAAATGAGATTGTGATTTGTTTGAGTTTGAAATATTCAAAGTAGGTATATAAGTGGTTAGGTTTATAAGTGAAAATATCACTGAAAATTGAAGCGTAAAGTGCAAAAAATACATAAAATTTTTGCAAAAATACCTTAATTACTATGTGTATAACATTTAAATAAATTACTCCATAATGTCTATTTTTTTTTATTTATAAAAAGCCCAAAATACCACCTTTTTTTTTTTTTTTTTTCATAATCTTATAATTAATAATACCGACATTTTACTTTTGCATCAAAAGAATTGTCTAACCAACCAAAGATTCAATTATGTAAATATACAAAATAAAAAAAATTTATAAAGAAAACCTATTGAAATTACAAAAATGGATCACTTTATAAGTTTATCCTCATAAATTAAAAAGCCACTCCCCTCACAAAATTTTCATCATTGCCTCTAACCAAACATAGCTGAGGATACCAGAAGGAATATGGGCCGGATATGATCCGCGGACATGGCATTGAGTCAAACAAGTGAATTCAGCCCTTACAGGAGCACTGCAGAATGGGCCGAGCCCGGAGGATCCATCGAAGAAGGCCAAGCCCAGTGGAAAGAAGACCCAAAACTGATAGTCCAGCAGCACTTGTAATTGCCTATAAAAAGGCAGTGAAGAGAGTGAAAGGGGGGATTATTATTATTTTTAATTGAAAATGTAATGAGATTCTGTCCAAATAGAGAGAGAAAATTCTTTGCATATCCAATTGGCGCCGTCTATGGGAAACGATGAAGAACATTCATTCATGCTTGATCGATGTCATATTAATTCGAACTGGTCCGTGAAGACGAAGCAAGATTTCTAGAAATTGAGTCCAGATCGGAGAGATTGCAGTTTTTTTTTTTGAAGGAATTCTTGATTACTGTCGGTTTAGATGTGTTTGCGTTGGAATTACGCAGCTGAGATTTGCTTAATCGCAGCTAGATCCGGTGAGTTAAAAGCTAGAAAAGCTCAGATCTAGCGAATTGTGATCGCGATTCAGTGATGCAGAGTTCAGATCCGACGAGGTTTGCATCGGTAAAGCTCAGATCTGATTAAGATCTTGTGACTCATGCCTTTGCTTCGCTCCGGAATCATGATAGGAGGCGAGAGCTCCAATCCGATGGAGAATGTCTAGCAGATGAAGCTTGATGAGTTGATGAATATGATCGAAGTTCTTAGGAGAGATAATGCAGAGCTGAAAGATGGGATGCAGCGCCAGGAAGCTCTGGCGGTTCTGCAACCGCCTTTGGCGGGTGAAGAGGTTATGCATCCTGTTGTTGCGCGTTAAGGTGAAGAGGAAGAGAACAACTTGCCAAATCCTCATCACGAGGAGGTTAGGCCGGACGATTTGTCACCAAATCCTTGCCGTTTTGATGATCGAGAAGGCTCAATTCACTTAGATCCACGGCGTGAGCAGATCAGGCGAAACGCGGCAATGACTTTTGATCCGAATCAGGAGAGGTCCAACTGAGAAGAAGCTGTGGAGTTTGGACCTCACAAAACCACATCGATCTGGCAGAAGGAATACATGGAGGAAAGATAATCCGATTCGCTTTATCGACCTTCAATGGCTATGTTAGACTACCGAAGCTCAGAAAGGAGATCTACGGATCAGAGAGCTGCTGCAAGGTTCCATAGAGAGAATGAGGCTCTTCGTTCAGAAGCTCGGACGGTTGACTCGCCATTTACCGATGAAATTCTGAATTCTTCGAGTCCCAGGAAATTCTCCATACCAGTTTTCATCCTGTTTGACGGAACGACTGATCCGATCGATCATGTGTATCATATCCAATTGAAAATGGCACTGAACACGGAGAATGACTCCTTAATGTGCAAATGTTTCCTAACAAGCTTGGCTGGACCAGCGCTCAATTGGTTCAAAAACTTACCGAGGTGATCGATTGATAGTTTTCGAAGCCTTTGCGATCGGTTCATCAGCCAGTACTATGGGAATAAGCTCCGGGCAAAAGATGTCTCCAGTTTATTCACAATGAAGTAGCATGAGGACGAGCGTCTCCAAGCTTTCCTTACCAGGTTTAACCTTACTAAGAGCATGGTGATTGAATGTCATCCTTCTACGGCGGTTCAAGCGTTTATATTGGCCATAACTCGTGCCACTCCATTCCACATAAGCTTGGTAGTGAATACGCCGAAGACTATGGATGAACTTAATGAAAGAGCTGATGGATTTGTGTGCTTGGAAGAAAAAGAGGCAGCTAACGCTCGGAAGACATCCATCATATCAACAGAAGAGAAAACCAAAACAAAGATCAGACA